GATGGCACAGTGGTCAAGCTTGTCCTCCAGGGGGCGCTCTTCCGAGGGTATTTAGGCTGCCTTCGGAGCCGCAGCGTCTTGGGCCTTCGGGAGGTGGGTGACGTGCGTATCTTTTTGTTGTGGCTGTGGATGCCTTTCAGCTCTGCTTTCTTTGCTTTCAAAGCCTTTTCTGTGGCTTCTGCTTTGGGAGGGGAGGGGCTTCCTTCCCTTTTCGGCGCCATCTTCATGAAAAGTTAAATTATTTGTTAAAATTGCAGAGAAGTAAAGGGGGAAAATATCTGATTATCTCCCTGGCCAGATAACCTCCATTAACAATAAAAATAAAATAAAAAGTAATGCACGTCTAAGATTAAATTCTTTAGCTGCATAGAAAGTGAACATTAAATCTCCCTCCCTGTATCCCGCCCTCCACTCTTCTCCTCAACCTGCTAAGTTTTCTTTTTATTTCTTCCAGAAAAAGGTTTTGTGTATCTCCATGTTTCTATTGATATGCTCATTTTTTAAAAATGTTACATATATCACATATATGTCTTTTGCTTTTTTGATTTAATGATATATCTTGGTGATCTTTCTAAGTTAGCACATACAAATCTTCTATTCTTTTTAATGTATTCATAGAATTCCATCATATGGATACATAATTTATTTAAGCAGTCACCTATTTTTTTTGATTGCTGTTATAAAAAAAGTCCAGTGACTCTCTTTATCTATATTCTTGGCAGGCTATTTGGGATCGTATCTGTCGGTTCAAGTCCTAACACGGGGGAATGCTGGGTCAAAGGATTCGTGTTTGAAAGCTTTGATGGATAAAAAAAATTATAGCTTTTTAAGTCTCTGTAATGTGCACCAAAATCCCGTTTCATTAAAAAGGAGCACGTTGAAAGCGCCCTCCCTGCACCCCTCCCCCACACCTGCTCCCTCATTCTACAAGTACACACAGATTAAACTCTACTGTACAGAAAACTCATTTAGAATCTAAATTAAATACTTAAAATAATTGTCTTCTCATTAGTCCCAGACAGCTTCATGAGTAAAAATAAACTGGTGTCAGAAGGAGACCAAACACATTAGCAGTATTAATCCTCAGGTAGTAAATTAGGTAAAATGCTTGTACCTTGAGTTATAGAATTTATGATTCTGCCTTTCATCTCTTCTTTATGGAAAGTTCTTTACCTCACTAGATAAAGATTACCCTTGAGAATGGAAATCGTGCCCTGTTATGTCATGGTCTACTGGATATTGTACACTCTCAGTGAATATTTGTTTAAATAAATTGAGTTGAACCCCTTCATATAAACAGTTAAAAGTTCATGTTCTTCAAAGGAAAGGTTCTCCTTGGGGTAGGGAGGGTTGGATTGAGGTTAAGTTCAAAGACCAAATACAACAAGAGAAATAGTTCCTTCTCATGGACGTCTAGAAACAAAGACCATAAATGATTTCTGGATCCTTAACATTTCTCCAGCTTCTGAACAGTTATTTGTGGAAGTAACAGGTGAATCAATAAGTTAATTCAATGGGCAACTATTTTAAGGGACAGGACAGGGCCTGGCTACATTTATGACTTTACGGTGGTTTGAAACTGTATTCGGAGAGAAAAAAAGGTTTGCAGCATTCCGATATCATTTTAAAATGCAGTTTGGGGAGTGACTTTGTTTCTATTCAGATGAATTTCTGATTTGCAAAACTCCCGGGTACACCTGGAACTTGCTTTACTGTCATCTTGAAGGGACAGCTATATGGTGTAAATTGACATGTACCTATGCGGTATTTGGGGTTTTTAAAAATTCCTTATAAGATGGTAAGATTCTATACCGTGCCCTCCCACCCATTCCCTTCAAAAGATGGAGATTTATTTTAACTCAGAAGTCTGATCTTTTTGAAGAAGGAGCTGAAAGCCATCTTTTCTGTGTTCTCAACACAGTTAGCAGGATTCCTCGCTGTTCAATCACATCAGGGCAACAGCAGCCCCTGAAAACTGCCTCAGCATTACCTCTTTATCGGAGGTGTTTTGGTAAACCCACTGGCCAGAAATGAAATGAAAATCAACCTCTGCCTGTGATGAGTAATTCAGAACGCTCCAATTAGGAGTTTTGAAAGCCTTCAAACAACTTTATCAAGCTGGCCCAGGAGGAAAAATTGAGACCTGTCAATCACTTGTGTCTTTCTCTGAATTAGCTATTTTGTCTGAAATGGGTAGAAAGCAGAATCTTACGTCTACTCCCGTACACCTTTGGAGTAGCACTGTCATTTCAGGAAGATATTTGAGACTACTGCTGGTCCGCTCTTATTTTCATTTCTCTCTCAGCCCCTTGGCCACTGTCTCAATTAGTAGCTGTAGCCTGGGACCCCAAAGACCTCTGTCCCACTCTGGGCCACTAATTAGCATCTGGACAAGAAACCTGACCTATTTGGTTCTCAATGGCCTCATAAGTTAGGAATTCAGTCACCTCTGAGCCCCCCTTTCACTCTGTGATTCTGGTTAAATTTCTTCAAATATAAACAGCAAAGGTTCATGGGGATCTACTAATCTTTCCTGTTTTCTAAAAGTGCCCTGGTCCTTTCTTTCACTACTTGCACGTTTAGCTTTGCAGTTTGAACGTTCTAAAGGTCTCCCTCACCATTTACAAGAAGCTGACCTCCAGGTTGGGTGTGCTACCACACGGGACAGTGGGTGCCTTAGTGGCGTGTCTGAAACACCAGGCTTATGATTAAGTCAGAGTTAATGTCACCAGGACGTTTGCCAAAGAAGGATCAAGAAGCATACTGTAAAATGTTTTCCTCTCCGACAGGCAAAGAAATCGCTATTAAATAGCAGTGAGGTGCTCTTTTCGATACAGCAAAGAGGTGGGGCTGAGAGCTGCACGCTCGTGCTGCAGAAAGGCATTTGGGAAAAACCTTTCTGAAAAGCATTTCGACAATCTACAGTGAAAGCCTTGAAACGATGCACACTTTGGACACACTAATTGCACTTGCAGAAATCTAGTCTAAGGAAATAATCAGAAATGCAAACTTATGCACCAAAGTGTTTGTGTGTTATTTCAGAAGCTAAAATTTTAGCTGCAACCAAAACGCCCCAAAATGCTGAGAAAGAGTAAATCAAGTATAGTCCGTGTATGGAGGACTCTTGTCCAACTCTTTCAAATTATGTTACAGAG